GAGTGTGGCAGTAGTAGTGAGGTTGGCCCAGGATCGGACATTGTTTCGTTCTGCTGTGCATGGGGTCGCTATGAGTCGGTTCCGACTCGATGGCACCTAACAACAACAACAACAACCCTAAACAAAGAAGAACTAGATGGTGCCCAGCTACCATTACCAACTGCTCTGAAAGGGATCACATTACAAGGTCCTCGATCAAGTGGGAGAAAAAATGGAACAAAACTCAAAATCATAAAAAAGACTAGGCTTACTGGTCAGACAGAGACTAGAAGAACCTGAGACTATGGGCTATACTCACTCTTCAGATCTGGAACTGAACTCACTCTCATGGCTCAATTTTCAGCCAAGCAGCAGATAGGTAGATACATGGGTATATTTGGTGTGTGGTGGAGTCCTGGGGTGGCTCTGTAGTTGATAAGCACTGAACCACAAGGTTGGTTTGAACGGTAAGACCAGAGGTTCAAACTCACCAGCTGATCTTCAGAAACCTTATCCACGGTCACTATGAGTCGGAATTGACCCGACAGCACTTAACAACAACAAAATAGTGTGTAGTGTGCACAACATAGAATGGTCAACCATTCAAGATTAAAGGGCGGCATTTACCTGAGGACAAAGTTCAGAAGGGTCAGGAAAGCAGGAGGAATGGAAACAGGAAATGCAGGGAGGACGAGGGGTGAGCGACGTTATATTCAGGACTGTAATCAGAGATGAAACCAAGTGTGCATGATTTGTTGCAGGTAAAATTGATGACCTGCTCTATAGATCATCACCCAATTCAGCTTCACCCAATTCACACTACAAAGTAAAAAAAAACTATACTGCACTCACCCTAATTTTAATAAACAATGAATGGGGGGGGGGAATATAAAAAGGCTATTGTTATTATAAGCATCACTGAGCAGGTGACAGCAGTAAGGTGTTGGCTCAGTGGCAGAATCTCATGACTCTTGGCCTGATCTTGTATAAATGACTTCCTCCTTTTTCTGACTGAGGCCATTCCCAATCTTCAAATAATAGTAATAGAATACCATTTATTGAACATCTAACATAAACTTTACATAGACCAATTCACCTATTCCTCACAACAACTCCCTGAAGTAAGTTTTGTTAAATCTTCATTTTATAAATGAGGAAATAGAGGCCCAGAGAAGTTAATGAACTTGCCTAATACCCCACAGGGAACAAACAGCAAAGCTGGGATGTGAACCTAACTAGTCTGACTCCAAGGTCAGTGACCTCATGACCTCTCTCACTCCACTGCACTGAACAGCCCCTCATTTGTCCTGAGCCAGCCCTAAGTAGCCTCAGGAAGAGATGTATTGAGTTAAATTGTCAAGGCTGTGGGTTCTGGGGAGCCCATTTGAGAGACCCAGAGGCCCTTTCGGGGATGACCCCTGGCTCCCCACCCATCTTACACCCTTTCCTGCTGGGTCTGTCTGACATCACCTGAGCCCAAACCAGCTTGTCCTGAAATGCAGACTTGGGGAGCCTGCTGGGGCTGCCTGTGTGGGCGGGCTGTTGCTCTTGCTGCCAAGGGCTGAGGCCTGTGTCCAACACAGCCTCAGTGGCTCCTTCACAAAGTCTCAACTTTCAGTTTGGCTGCATTAGGCCTGAGTGATGCATGGACCACTCACCTTGCCCACAGTCCGCTCACTGTCTTAGGTTTGCAGCAGCGCCCACTGCAGGAGACACCCTCAGACTCAGGGCCCTGAGCTTCATTTAATATTCTGCTGTCACCATCTTGAAATCCTTAAAAATTATTGAACTAAGGGCCCCCCCGCCTTTTTGTTCACATTTTGCAAATGATGTAGCTAGTTCTGGTCAAACTCTGCTCAGTCCTCAGGGCCCAGGGAGCCTCCCAAGGGTGAGATCTAAAGGACACCACAGGGGAGGAGGTGAGAAGACAGGAGTCCTGTTCACAAGGTCAAATCCAACTGGTGAACAGCAGAAATCTGAAGAACCGAGTCCCACATTTCTTTGAATGGTGGGAATTTAGAAGACTAAAATTCATTTTTTCTATTTACCCTCATAAATAAACATAATACCCACTGAATGTGCTGTTTCTTACTAGTGGGAGCATTAGAGAGAAGGCTGGATTTGCACTAAGACACGAGCCTGGTCTCCCTTGATCCTTGCTTGAGGCTATAGGTGGCAGTGTATAGTATTCTTGCCTTCTATGTGGGAGATCAGGGTTTGAGTCCCTGGCCAGACCGCTGCAGGCTCATCCACTCTTTGTCAGTGGAGGCTTATGAGTTGCTATGATGCTGAATATTTTCCAATGGAGTGTCTAGGTTATGATGGATTGGAAGACAGGCTTGATTGTCGATTTCTTAAAAATTAGCCAAGGAAATTCTGTGGATCACAGCTGTTCAATTTGCAAGTGCTCATGGAGATGGTGTGAGACCAGGTAGTATTCTGCTTTGTTGTGCATGGGGTGTGTGTGAACCAGAGCTGATTTGCCAGCAACAGCAACTTGCCTGATACGATCCTGAAATCCCATCATTATTAAATCCTGCCAGTTAATCAGATATCTTATTACATAACAAATGTAGCTTCTGGAGAGCTCACGGCCTCAGTCATCACCACTCTGGACTTTCAGCCTTTCCTTCCCAACTGGTCCTTTCCTCCTACCCTTCAAACAGTCTGCGATCTTCCCTACTGTACTCACTGTCCCGGTGCTCAGGCAAACAGCAATCCAGTCTCTCCTCCTCTGTCCTTCCTCCCATGTGGCCAGTTCCTCACCCTCCAACCTCCTGCTCTCTAGCTTCCATTCTCTCAACCCCATTAGAACTATCCACACTTTCATCAGCCTTGACACCATGAGGCCACACGTAACTTAGTGCCACAATATGCCTTTCATGGGCCTTGGGCACATCGGAGGACCTTCCGTCATATTGAAAATGATATTTTAAGACTATCAAGGATTTTCTGGGTGATGCAAATGGTCATTAAGCTCAGCTGCTAATTGAAAGTTTCGAGGTTTGAGTCCACCCACAGAAGTAGAAAGGTCTGGAGATCAACTTTCTGCAAAATCAGCCATGGAGGCATCTCATGGAGGAGAGTTCTCCTCTGACACACATGAGGTCACCATGAGGCAGGGTTGGTTTGATGGAAAACACTAACTGGTATGAAGAGAAATAGACCCAGTTGGGACTGTAGTTTTTATTTTAAAAGATATTAAAATGTTTTTCTGGGCCCTTGAAGTACTGTAGGCCTTGTGCTCTGTGCCCATTGAGCCTAAGGGAGATGAGCTCACCCTGTTCTGAAGCGGGCTGAGCAAATTTGACTTGTGTCTTCTTGAAACTTTTGCTCCTGGGAAAACCTTCTTTGATTATTCTCCTCTTACTGAACATAGTTCTTTTTTGTGTGATTCAAGTCCTTGTTCATATGTAACGCTGTCTCCCACAGCTGACTTCTGTCAATTTATAGTTTTGTACTCTGGTTTTTCATTGGAAACATTTTCATTCATCTGTAATAACATTCATAATCTTCACACTGACATACGGTGAGAAAGAGACTTACTTTTTTCTCCTCTCGGTTTCCCGTTGGAACACTTCTTCCTTTGTTTTCTTGCTGTTTCTTCTTCCTTCCCTGAATGGTTGGCCCATCTGATCTTTCTGAATTACTTTCCCCCAAATAGTCCCACTCTAGGCTTCAGCTACTAGCTTTGGAAATCTACTGCCACCATACCCATTCCCACTCATAGTGTTTCTCTGCTGTAAATCTTCATGGGAGCAGAAAGCTCATTTTCCTTCCAAAGAGTGGCTGGTGGGGTTGAACTGTTGACCTTGCAGTTAGCAGTCTAGTGCTTATCCTTCAGCACCACCAGGACTCCGTTACTAGCTTTTTACTGTTGTTGTTAAGTGCTGTCGAGTCTGTTCCAACTCATAGCAACCCTGTAGAGGGTTTCCGATGAGCAGCTGGTGAGTTTGAACTGCCAACCTTGCGGTTCAAACCGACCTTGTGATCAAGTGCTTATCATACAGTGCCACATACTAGGTCTCTAGCTTTTTAGTAGGGCTGGAGAAAAGTGGGCCTTGAAGATGATACTTCTAGTGGCAATTTGTGTTCAAGGATCTGTTGTATAGACTTGCTCAAGCCCTTTCAGACTGCAGGGTTTATATATTTGAGAGGCAGGCTCTTTTGAAACACTGTGTTTTATTAATGAGACCAGGGTATCAGAGTTTGAAGTTGCCTTAGAAATGATTGGTCTCAATTTCATTATTTTACAGGTAAAGAAACTGAAACTCAAAGTGGTTAATTTACTTGATCATGGTTAAAGAGATTTAAAACTTGGGTCCTTTGATTCCAAAGCTTTCTATTCTTATCTCAGCCATAGGCTCTCTGAATGTGTCAAAGAGGAACTTTAGTTTATATGGTTGTACCATTACAATGCCATTTGTCTTATACCATTATATTCATAATTATTTCATTCTCCATTTTATTTAAATATTATCTTAATGGAAAGAAGAACAAGACACACTCTACAACTCAGTTCTTGGTCAAATTCACACTTTGAAATAGTCTGTTTGTTCTATTGGAGAAGCGGCGCTGTGGGTTAATGCCCCAGACTGCAAAGCTGTTTGAACTGCAAGGTCGGCGGTTCAAGCTCACCAGCTGCTCCTTGGAAACCCTATACACAGGGTCGCTATGCTATGGGTCTGAACCGACTTGATGGCACTTAACAACAACAACAATATTAGAGAAGCCCAGATAGAGTGCCATAGCATAAGCACTGGGCCAAAAGGTTGGTTTGGACCTCAAGGTCGACGGTTCAGACTCACCAGCCACTCCTCAGAAACCCTATACAGGGTCGCTGTAAGTCAGAACTGACTCCAAGGTGCTTAACAACAAAAATAACAATTAGAGAAGTACTTTAGTGACTCTTATCCTACATAACGACAACATCACTGGTTTCTTAATGTTGACTTTGTCTCTGGGGTCTGCGGACTCACTTATTACTAAGGAGTCTAATCGTGAAAGTCAATTATTCTTACCTGTTTAGAGATAAGGAGCAGATGAGTCTCTGTCCCAAAATAACCAGGCCGACACTGGTACTAGCAACCTGCAGAAAACAAATGCCTTTTTTATCAAGAAGAGTGAATCTGTCCATTTGGAATCATATACACCAGTTTCTACAGCAGAAGCATCATATGCCCTACTTCCCTTCTCATTCTGAGAAACACTGGAAAGAAAGAGGTCTAAAAATGTTGGCTTGCAGGTAAGAAAACTAACTGAAGAATTTTTGTTATTACTTCATTATTCCTAATCTCTTTTTCTATCTACGGTGTGTGTGTGAGAGAGACGCTTTGCTTAGATTTATTGTATTAGTTTCCTCTATCAAATTGCACTTGGCCTTCATTGGTTTAAATAAACGTGAGTTCCATCTTGATCAACTCATTTTGAGGAAAATGTTCACCTATCAATGAAATAGGGTCTGTGGTTTGATCTTCCCAACCGCTCTTGGAGAAAAATGAGGCTCTTTGCTCCCACAAGGATACAGTCTCAGAAACTCTATACAGCGTGGCTAGGAGTCAGAACTGACTTAATGGCACTTCACAACAACAGCAATCAATGTAATGGAAGCAGTGCGAGGGTATGAACAAGCTCTGGTGGCACAATGGTTAAGCACTTGACAGTTAACTGAAAGCCAGGTGGTTCGAACTCACCCAGCTGCTCTGAGAGAGAAAGACCTAGTGTTCTGCTTCTGTAGTGATTGTTGTAGTTAAGTGCTATTGAGTCGGTTCTGACTCATCGCGCCCTGTATAGGGTTTCAAGGAGCGACTAGTGAGTTTGAACCACAGACATTGTGGTTCGACCAGACCTTGAGGTCCAGTGCATTATCCCATAGCGCCACACCCTCTGGGGACACTTCTGCTCTGGTACATGGGCTTACTCTAGGTGGTGGTGGTTGTGTGCTGTGGAGACAGTTCCGCCTCATAGTGACCCTGCATAGGGTTTCCGAGGCTGTAAATCTTTACAGGAGCAGAAAGCCTCATTTTCCATGGAACTGCTGTTAATTTCAAACTGCTGACCATGAGGTTAGCAGCCCAACTTGTAACCACTATGCTACCAGCGCTCCTTACTTGGAGTCACTGTGAGTCAAAATTGGCTCCATAACCTAACAACAGCAACAACAACTTCGGGGTATGAATTTGGCTTCTCATCCTCTATTCTAAATTGGTCCTTCTCACTTTTGACTGAGGTACAAAGGGCCTTCAAAACTTTGTGGGAAAATTCCACCATCTTTTCATTCAATTTCTCCATGAACTCTTTGAAGCCTCCTGCTATTGTCCATCACCCTTGCAGACAGTCAGAAGCTGCTGGCCAGTGGTCCAGAGCAGAGTCACGATTGCCACGGACAAGCTGACCTCTTGGCTCCGCGTACTTACAAAGTCCATGGAAACGATGGTTTCAGCAGTTGAGTTCTCAGACTGCGTGAGCATCACAATGGAGGCAGGGATGTCCAAGGTGAAATTACCCGGCCGCAGACTGATCACAGGAGGCTGGGTCGCCATGATACGGACCATGAAGGGCTGGGACAAGATGTAGATCTCTGCAATCTGCCCATTCAGGGAACAAAGACAGGAATCAGGAGCCAGGAGCAGATGGGGTCACTCATAAACTTGGGGTGACATTTTGTAGTTAAATTTCACATCATAGAGATGAAAAGCTATTATTTGGAGTTGCATAGACAAAAAAGCTCTTTAATAATAATGACAATAACCGCCTCTCTCCCAGCCCCACCCAAGCCCCATTGCCTTCTGGCTTATAAGTTGCTTCCGGCTTATAAGAGACCCTATAGAACAGAATAGGACTGTTCCATGGGGTGTCCAAGGCTGTAAATCTTTACAGAGGCAGACAGCCTCATCTTCCTCCTTCAGTGACTGGTGGGTTTGAACCGCCAACTTTGTGGTTAGCAGCCCAACGCTTACCCCACTGCATCACCAGGACTCTTTAATAATAACAATGTTGTTGTTAAACGCTGTTGAGTCCATCCATTCAGACTCATTACAACCCTGAATAGGGTTTCCAAGGAGTGGCTGGTGGGTTTGAATCGCCAACCTTATGGTTAGCAGTTCAGTGTTTATCCTGCAGTGCCATACCAGGACTTCAATAATAACAATAATACACATACTATATATATATATACTGTCTGCCAGGCAGCAGGCTTGGGCGTCTATGTATTATCTCACTTAATCTTCACAGACTCCCTGGGAGCTCATGCTGTCCATGTTCTAGTTTCACAACTGGAGAAAGTGAGTCTTAGAGGTTAAGCAATTTTCTCAAGGTTCCAGTCATCTAAGCTGTAGAACTGGAATCCGAATCCAGGTCTGTCTGACTCTAAAACCAAGATGCTGCTTGAATGCCTCTCTGTCCTTAAGGACAAAACCTGTGCCTCTCAGTTCCGTATGTCAAAGACTAAGCTATGCTGAGACATAACATGCAATGAAGGCATACCATTAACCACTGCTTTACCTAACTCACAAACAATGGAAAGTCTTCCTTCACTATGCACTTAAACTCATTATTTCAAGTGTAGTGGGACCATGTAGGAGAAACAGATGGTTGGTTTTGTGAATGTTAATGTCTTCCTTGATCACTAACTTGTTCTGCTTGGTAAATATTTATGGATATTTGATTCAAAGAAAGCCAAAGCAAAAAAAAACAAAACAAAACAAAACTCTTAGGAATGTAGAGATGGATTCATGCTTGGACCACCAAGAAATATAAAGAACCCACAAGACTTCCAGAAGTAACTGTAATGAAACCAAATTCACTACCAATGAGTCAAACCTTTAGCACTCACCCGCGAGAGCACGTTGCCAAGGCCTTGGGAATTTTGAAGGAAATGATTCGAAATCTGGAAAATAAGAATCATCACATTAGTGTGAGATTTTTACCTGGCTTTGAGTTTTGGGAAGAATGATGTATTCCTTATTGTTTTATGAATTATGAAGTTGGTGTTCCACAAGATATTTAGTATTTGAAGGCCAACTATAGGAAGTCTGAGACTTCTGAGAAGTCATGTGACTTGCACAAGGTCACACAGGAAGTTGTTTCCTTTCCACTAATTCCTTTTTGATCTTGGGAATACGGTACATGTCACATATGTATTATCCATGTATAAACATTTCATAGTTATTGACAATAGCCCTTGTATTCTTGCCCTGGGTTTTAAAGTCACTGAAGCCCAGGGTGCCTAAGAATTTCCCTTCACAGAATGGTTTTCTATGGGCTCCTGGTGTGGCACTGAAGGATGAGCATGGACCACAAACTACAAGGTCAATGCTTCAAACCCACCAGCCTTTCCTTGGCAACCCTGTATAGGGTCGCAATGAGTCAGGACCAACTTGACTGAATCATAACAACAACAATTCTAGACGTGTGCAATTCTCAGCATTGCAAGATAACTGGTGCTACCATGCTTATGACTTGGAACATAAAATGTTCATCTACTTGTATAAGTAAGACCTGGTATGGTGCTGTGGGATAAAGCACTGGACCACAAGGTCGGTTTGAACCACAAGGTTGGCGGTTCAAACTCAACAGCCACTCCTTGGACACCCTATACAGGGTTGCTATGAGTCAGACTGACTCTACGGCATTTAACAACAACAACCACTGGTAATATAGTAGTTCCACAGGAGAAAGATGAGGCTTTCTGCTCCTACAAAGATTTACAGCTTCAGAAATCCTATGTAGGGTCACAATGAGTCAGAATCGAACCCACAGCACACCACTAGATATATAATATATATAGTCCTGGTGTGGCACTGCAGGATAATGTGCTGGACTGCAAAGTCGGTTTGAACCTCAAGGTTGATGGTTCAAATTCACCAGCCTCTCCTTGGAAACCCTATACAAGGTTGTAATGAGTCAGAACCAACTCAATGATACTTAACTTTAACTCTCTCTCTAATATATATATGTTGTTGTTAAGTGCCACACACACATACACATATAGTATTGTGCTCAGAATATGATCAGAATATATATATGATAGAACATTTGTCCATTCAACATTACTTACATGTATAATTCAGTGGCATCAATTATTTTTATGATGTTGTACCACCATTACCACTGTTTCCAAATTATTCCACTAACAGAAACTCAATGCCCCCTAAGGCCAAATAAGTCCCCTTTGCGTCAGGCAACCACTAATAAGCTTTGGTTTCTATACATTCGCCTTTTTCATGTAAGTAGGATCATACAGTACTTGTCCTTTTGAGTCGCTCAGCACGATGTTTTCTGGATCCATCATGTTGTAGCCTGTATCAGTACTTCAGTTCTCTTTATGGCTGAGTAATATCCCATTGTATGGATAGAATGTTGCTGTTGTTATGTGCCGTTGAATTGGTGTTGACTCATAATGACCCCATATAGGGTTTCCAAGGAACGACTGGTGGATTTGAACTGTGGTTCAAACCAACATTGCAGTTGAATGCTTACCCTTTATTTATTCATTCATCAGGAAAGGTCTTTAAGTTGGCATAGCAAAAGGAATAATAATATGGATGATGAAAAGCAACATTTCTTTAGCACTGCCTATTTGCCAAGCATTGGTCTTCATGCATTACGTGCAGTTAAACCACTGTAATGCCCATAACAACTCTAGGAGTGGGGGTCTATTATCATCCCCTTTTTCCAAATGAGAAAACTGGCATAAAGAAGAACTTAAATGAATTAAAGTTGCCCAAGATTGATGGTAATAAGGGATGCAGGGAAAAATTACATTCTTTAAGATCCATCTAGAAGCGTTTCCAGGAATCATGGAAAAACTCAAATTTGGTCAAACTGGAAACTCTGAAACTAATAATATTCACTTCGTAACTCCTTAATTCATTGACCTGCTTGGAGTGTTAGCTTGTGAATAGAGGCTGTAACATAAAACATCTTGTTGTTGCTGTTGTTGTTAAGTGGTGTAGAGTCGGTACCAACTCATAGTGGCTCCATATAGGGTTTCTGAAGAGCGGCTTCTAAGCTTGAACCACCAACCTTGTGGTTCAAAGTAGCCTTGCAGTCCAGCTCATTAACCCACAGCACTACACCAGGACTCGAAAAGTCTTGTAGTGGGATATTTATACAAAGGTTAACCAATAGTGCCAATGGGCATTATCTATTAACTCTACTCACCTCCTTTGTGGACAGAGTCACATTAAATGCTCCAGCTGAGAAGTGAGCAAAGGATGCGGATTTAAAGAAATACTCAGAGATTCCAATGTAGAGCATGGAGTCACTGCGTTCGGGAAGCATAAATGGATCTGCTGAGAAGGGGGGGTCGGCGAGGTTGTCCAGTGGGTAGAATGTGCCCTGGGGGAAAACAGAGAGAAAGAGCAATGTACCATGTAAAAAGACTAATGTGTTGGACAAAAGAAGGTGGACTGGACATTCCAGAAACTTAGTTTTAGCAAAAAAGAAAAACCAACCCCAAACCAGTTGCCTGTAGAATTGATTCGGATTCATAAGGGACGCTGTGTATTTCAGAGTAGAACTGTGCTTCATAGGGTTTGCAATGGCTGGCGCCTTTTGGAAGTAGATCACCAGACTTATTTTCTAAGGTTCTGCTGGGTGGTGGAATCAAACCTCCAAAATTTTGGTGGGAAACTGAGCTTGGTAATCATTTGCACCATCCAGGGATTCCCTTAACTCTGTAGGGATGAAAAAATGATCAAGGCTTTTGACTTCTTGACCAGTAACCATCAGAGTCATAGTTCTCATGACTTCTTGAGCCTATTTGAACATATCTTTCCATACTGGAATGTAACCCAGTAGAGAACTCCTGGTTGGTACCTTTCTCAGAGAAATGAACACAGAGACATTTAGCTGGAAAGGACCAGATCTGAACAGCTCCTCTAGTGCCATGCTGCTGTTGTGAAGTGCCGTTAGTTTGAAACTCAGAGGATTTCCGAGGCTGTAAATTTCTGTGGGAGTAGAAAGCCTCATCCTTCTCTCACGGAGCGGCTGGTGGGCTCAAACCGATGACCTTGTGGTTAGCAGCCCAGTGCTAACCCTACAAAACCACCATGCTCCCAGGTGTTGGGTAGAGATGTCAGCCTTTGACCTTCAAAATCTGTGATTGCTGAATGCCTGAGGAGTCATAGAAAGACTCAGAAGGACCTGAGACGTCAATGATTCAAAGTATTTTTTTTCTGGCTTTCCTAACTCTGCCCTCATTAGTCTCTGGTGTTATTGCAAAATATTGTCATGTGTGATATTTATTGATTTAAATGGCTCTGAATGAGTTAATGTGCATTTAGAAAACAATGACATTAGCCTTGGGAACAAGATTAAACATGTTCTTGTTAAGTGCAGTTGAGTCAGTTCCAGATTTATAGTGTCCCTATATAGAGTTTTCAAGTATGGGTTTGAACTGCCAGTCTTGCAGTTAGCAGTCCAGTGCTTATCCTACATTGCCACACCAGGACTTTTCATTAAACACGTCGTTGTTGCTAAGTGCTGTCGAGTCGATTCCAACCCATAACGACCTTGTATTGGGTTTCCGAGGAGCGGCTGCTGAGCTTGAACTGTTAACCTCTTGGTTCAAACCGACCTTTGCAGTCCAGCACATTAGCCCGCAGCTCCACACCATTAATTACTTTGTCAGAATTAGCAAATTCCATTCTTATCTGCAAATGGATATGAATAACTAATCTGAGCTTTAAAAATAAAAGTATTGATGAACATGTGGAATCTACTTATATATCAAATTCTAATATATTCAGACCATTCTTGCTGCTTCCTATCCTCAAAACGATTCTCATGAAGAAGGCAGATATAAGTTGTGCAGTCTAAGTAATCATTTACCAATCAAGAAAATTTTCAACAAGAGTCTTCTGAAAGAGCATGAACATGAAGGGATTCCTTTAAAGGAAATAAAATGATTTGAAGAGTATGTATGTTTCTTTCCTTTTGCACGTATTTACTCCCCAAATACCAATGACTGTGAGGAAGACGATTTGATAATTGTTACCTTCAAGTCCAGGTCAATGTAGTTCTCAGTAATTTCTGGAGAATCGATTAGGGAATAATCCAGGACAGTATAGTTGTTGATCTTGGTTAGAACTAAACAACCAAGGGGAAAAAGAAAGGCTATATTCATTAAAAGCATAGAAAAATACATAAATAATGTCTGTCCGTGGTACTATTATTAATCCTCTATTTAAAGTAGCAATTTTCCCTTTCATTAAATAATACCTGTGAACATTTGAAAACTCAGGAAAAATGGGTAAGTCAAAAGAAATTAGTAAAAAACATTGAGAAGCACAAGTAAACGTTTGGAACACAAGGAGGCTTCAAAAATTCAGGGAAATTTTTCCATTATCTTTCAATTCCTTTTTTTTCCACACACTATTTGAAGCACCTCGTATATGCTCTTAGGATACACATACGTGCAAATTAAAAAAAAAAAAAAAATTAACACAAAATCCCTTACCAACACTAAGCTATATATATTGGGTTGGTATAATGGAAGATTTCAAGTTCTATGTTATAGATGCAGTTAGAACTTTTTTTGTTTTTACAGTAAGTATGCATTACTGTTGTAATTAGAAATACAAAAAAGAGATGTGTATGTGTGTATTAAATAAAGAGAGAGTGAATGAGAGGAAGATAGAGAATTGTTTGGTACTTTCAAGTCGATTCTGTTTCACAGCGACAACAGAATGGAACACTGCCAGCCCTGCACCATCCTCACAACTATTGTTAGGCTTGAACCCATTGCAGCTGCCACTGTGCCAATCCATCTTGTTGGGAGTCTTCCTTGTTTTCACTGACCTCCCACTTTACCAAGCATGACGGTCTTCTCCAAGGATCGCTCCCTCCTGATAACATTTCCGAAGTATGAGAGACCATGGTTCACCATCCCAGCTTCTAAGGAGCGTTCTGACTGTACTTCTTTCAAAACAAATTTGTTTGATCTCCTGGCAGTTCTTGGTACTTTTAATAATCTTCTCCAACACCATAATTTGAATGTGTCAATTCTTGTACAGTTTTCCTAATTCACACTGTTCAATTTTCACAAGCATGTGAGGTGACTGAAAATACCATGGCTTGGGACAGGCCCACCATAGCCTTCAAAGTGACATCTTTGTCCTTTTGCAGCACATTTGCCTAATATGATATGTTGTTTAATTTCTTGACTGCTGTTTCCTTGAGCATTGATTGTGGATCCAACCAGTAAAAGTCTCTGACAACTTCAATCTTTTCTCCATTTATCATGATGTTATTTATTAGTCTGGTTATAAGAATTTTCATTTTCTTTCATTTTCAGAATTTGAAATCTGAATTGGCACACCTGGACAACTGTGGTCTGAGTATGCTATCCATATTGAAGGCTGTAGTCTTTGATCTTCATCAGTAAGTATTTAATCTTCTTCCCCTCCAGCAAGCAAGTTTGTGTCATATGCATATGGCAGGCTGTTAACAAGTCTTCCTCCAATCCTAATGCCAAATTCTTCTTCATATAATCCAGCTTCTCAGAATATCTGTTCAGTATATTGATTGGTTAAGTGTAGTGAAAGACAGCCCCAATGCACATCTTCCTTATTTTAAACTATTCAGGTCCCCTTGTTCTGGTTGAACAACTATCTCTTGGTCTGTGTATAGGTTCCTTGTGAGCACAATGAAGTGTTCTGAAATACATATTCTTTGCAATGTTATCCATAGTTTTTATGATCCACACAGCTGAATGCAAGTCAGATCATGCCAATCGTTGCTCAGAACTCTTCAAAAGCTTCCTATCTCGCTCAAAGAAGAAACATTCTTTGCAATGGCCTAGAGAACCATGAAAGTCCGGGTGTGGTGCTGTGGGTTAATGTGCCAGACTGCAAAGACGTTTGAACTGCAAGGTTGGCGGTTCAAGCTCACCAGCTGCTCCTTGGAAACCCTATACAGGGTCGCCATGGGTCGGAATTGACTTGTCGGCACTAAATTACAATAGGACCATGAAGTTCTAACCATGTCCTTTCCCTATCTGATATCACTTCTGACTACTTTCCTTCTCACTCGCTCTCCTCCCAGTTCCTAACTGGGCATGCTCCTGCTTCTGGGTCTATGCACTTGTGGGTTCTTCTACCTGGAATGTTTTTCCTTCAGATCTAGGGGAGGTTCATTCCCTACTTCCTTCAAGTCCTTATTCTGATGTCACCTCCTCAATGATAACTTTCCTGGTCACAGTATCCCAAAAGAAAACTTCTCCCACTTCCTTCCCTGCGATTATTTTTCTTCTTGGATTTTACCTATTTATCTTCCTTGTTGGTTGTCTTCTCCACTAGTGCCAAGAAGGCAGGAATTTTTGTCTCTTAGGTTTACTGTTGCTTCCCGAGGCCCAGATCAGAGCCCCGCCTACTACAAGTACTCCACATATCACGGGTGAATGAATAGAGGAATTGCAGAGAGAGAGAGAGATGCTTCCAAAAGATCATGTGAACACAGGAGAGGTGTGACTTTTTGAGGTGCAGGCTGTCAGGTAATCTCTTCAAAGAGATTATGGTTGGGCTGAGTTTTCAAAGAGAAAGAGGAGTGAACAGAACAAGAGAAAGGTGAGGGCCAGAGCATATTGCTGGCACAGAAATAGGCCGTCAGTAAATATCTTTGAAATGAATAAGTGAGTAGAGGGGGTAGACAAAGTTCTCCCAGGCAGAGGGGAAAGGCAAGAGATGTTATTGGCGATACAAGATGAAGCCGGGAGAGGAGCCAGAGCAGGGTGAGTCTTTAGACCATGTTAAAGCCCTCGTTGTTGTGTTGTTAAATGCTGTGGAGTCAGTTCCGACTCACAGTGACCCTGTATAGGGTTTCCGAGGAGTGGCTGGTGAGCCTGAACCTCTGACCTTGTGGTTCAAGCCGAACTAGCAGTCCATCGCATTAACCCACAGCACCACATCAGGACTTAATTATAAAGACAGCAAGGAACCACTGAAAGGATTAGGGTAGAGCAATAGCCTGGATAGATTAGCATTAATCATTCTGAACAGGATGAATTTTATGTCAGAGCTGGAATTAAAGTTTGTGAGGGTTTAATTCTCAGGATAATGTGATTATGCAAGTTTATTTTTTATTCATTTCTTTGTCCCCAGTAGTCACACTTTCCTGCAGTGAACATGCAGCTGGATCTGAAGGTGGTTTGTAGTAGAAAAGAGCATGACCTCTGCCCAGAGCATGCCCTCCCGAGACACCTTCCTGTGGCTCTCATTTGCAGAGGGCAAAGCATCTCGTCATGGTCTCTGGTCCTGGTCTTTGTTCCCTGAATGGGCAGCAGAGCTGTGCTGCACTGAAAGGGAACCTAGAGACCACCAACATTTGAAGGTGGGAAGGGAACCATTCAGAAGAGAGAGATAGTTCTAAGACTCACCCTCCAGCATACTGAGATTAACATTTAGCTCTTCAACCTCACCGGTGATCATGGGACAGAGCTTGCCAAAAAAAAAAAAGAAAAACAAAAGCAGGTTATCATCTTGTACTAACAACCCCAATTTATGGTCTTTGTTGTTGTTGTTAAATGCCATTAAGTTGGTTCTGACTCATAGTGACCCCATCTAGGGTTTCCAAAGAGCAGCTGGTAGGTTTGAACTGCCAACCTTGTGGTTAGCAGTCCAGTGCTTATCCTACAGCACCATACCAGGAGTCCATTTATGGCCTTAGACCCTACAAACAAAGGCCATCTGGTTACAAGATGAGTAGTCTCCCTTTGGTCATCAAGAATTTTCCTTAAATTACTTATGGGTGAGTAGCATATCATTGAATGCTGACTAATCTTCATGGTGACTAGGATGACACCCTGTTAGCTTCATGAAAGAGCTAGTCCTTTGCTTTTCTCTCTGTGGCATGACAGGACACGTGTTCCAGTCCACGCAACTGTTGTCACAGCTGAGGAACCTGCTGCTGAAGACTGTCCCTTTCCCCACTGTGGGGTGTGCCAGCTGTCTCCTGTCTCCACGCCCAGCCCAGAGTGTTCAGACCAGGTGCCTCTCCTCTCCTGCACTAGTCTGAGATCCCATTTTATAGTTTCCTCCATTTGAAATCGGAAAATTAGTCGCTGCAGATTAAACAATGTCTTTGCTTTTAAATGCCATTGAGTCAATTCTGGCTCATAGGGACCCTGTACAGGGTTTCCAAGGAACAGCTGGTGGCTTTGAACCGCTGCTGATCTTGTGGCTCACAGTCCAGTGTTTAAAGGGTGAATAAAGAGCCTGCATGTTGCAAGCAGTTTGCAGTCCGTTGTTAACCTAAAGGTTGGTGGTTTGAATCCACCAGTAGCTCCACGGAAGAAATATCCTGACAATCTACTTCCATATGGAACAGCTTTACTGTGATGTCGTTATGAATAGAGTCTGACTTGATGGCCGTTAAAAACACCAGCAGATGCACTTGGCTGCTAACAGAAAGGTTAGTGGTTCGATTCCACCCAGAGGTACCTTGAAAGAAAGATCTGGCAATCTAATTCCAAACAATCAGCCAGCCATTGACAGCCCTGTGGAGTTCGGTTCTATTCTGATGCACATGGGGTTGCCACGAGTCAGAGTCGGTACAGAGGGGTGAAGACCATCAACTTTGATGTACCTGCTCTGTGCCCCGTGTGATGTTAAGCACGTAACACCGTAGAGGCTAGGAGCAGAGTCTGGCAAACTAGGGTTGAATCCCTTGACAAGTTGTGCTCTATGTCTTCAGTTTTCTCATTGGTAACAAGGAAATTATAATTCTAACTGCCTAGTTCGACTGCTGAGAGTGGAAATGGAGGTAATCCATGGAAAACTGGCCAGCTCATAGGAAGCAGTCAACAAATATTAGCTATTGTTTTAACATCATTTCATCCCCATTACAACCTTAAAAGGCAGGTGCTACTGGACTGCAAAGTTGTTTGAACCGCAAGGTCGGTGGTATGGCCTCTCCTCAGAGTGTCTCTATGGGTGTCTCTATACAGTGTCTCTATGGGTTGGAATCGAATCCACGGCACTTAACAACAGCTGTCTCCTACTTACAGATGGGGAAACGGAAGTGTAGAGATTAAACAGTTGCGTGAAGTTATATGACTAGAATTTGAAGTCTGAATTGGCATACCTGGACAGCTGTGGTCTGAGTCTTTAGTAAGCATGTGGATCAGTTTCACTCTGTCCTAATTGGGTCATGTGAGTCTTTTACCTTCTAGAGAATTACAGAATCAAAGCAGCGGTTCTCGCTAAGGCTAACTCTATTGGCTGTGTGTTGAGTTGGTTCTGACTCATAGCAACCCCATGTGACAGAGTAGAACTGCCCCACAGATCACTAGATCTTTCTCTGGGGGCATGCGATGGGTAGGTTTGAACCACCAACATTTTTGGTTATCAATCGAGTGCTTATGACCTAAAGCGTTGGCTTCCTGTCTGAGGCCAAAGAACCACACCTCCTTCCAAACAAAGAATGTGTGGTTCTTGGAGGTGACAGTATATTCGTTTTTCAAATGTTTTATTGTGAATTATGTGATAGTTTACATGGGAGAACATTAGCTTTACATTCATCCTATCGTCTGTTATAATCCCCTCCATGCATCATCAAACAACCAAAGGGCCTGCCTGCTGGTCATCAGCATACAGCCCCTCTCCCTCTCTGGGTCTGAAGTCCCCAGCTACTCCACATCATGGTCTCTCTGCCTCCATTTCTGGCATCACTGCTTCTCTGGGTAGGGTCTCGCATTCTGCTTTTCTCCCTTGATGGTTCCAGGGACCTCAGCTCCTGGACTGCAAAGTCAATCACTCCCCTCCTTTTGCTACAAAACATCCACCTTTGCATTTCCAACCCTCGAAGTCAGTGCTAATAACAATTATTCACCATTGTACCACAAGGGACCTATCCCCATCTCCTTTCGTTAGCCCCGCCCAGACAGATTGGCTACTACTCAGTGGAGATCCTACCTTCCTCTGCGCCTTTTGGATCTAGGCTCCCTCTTGAAAGCTTGTAAGCCAGTCACTTCTAGCAACAGTACATTCTTTTAAACCGTCACTCTCTAATATGCACATTCACTGGCCCTCAGCACTTGCTAGGCGAGGAAGGAGAAAGACCAATGCACCCAAACCCAATGCTGTTGAGTCAACTCTAACTCACATATAAGGCAGCATGGAACTGCCCCTTAGGATGTCTAAGGCTGTAAATCTTTACAGAAGCAGATTGCGGTATCTTTCTTCTTTCGAGTGCCTGATGTACTAAAGTGAGGTACCCATTCAGCGATTTCTTCATTAGCCTGAGTTTGTTTTTCCTAAATAGTAGATAAGTTTATTCTTCTTTTATATCATCAAAAGATCCTATCCCAAAGCTGGGTATGCAATAGGCAAATAATAGATAAGATTGTCAATTGCTTGCCTATCCTAGAAGGGATGTTGTTTTATTCATCTCTATGGACTCCTGGTGTGGCACTGTAAGATAAACACTGGACTGTGAGCCAGTGAGCCATGTGAAACTGTGAGCCATGAGGTCAGCAGTTCAAACCCACCAGCTGCTCCTTGGCAACCCTGTACAGTGTTGGAACCCTATGAGTTGGAACTGGCTTGACAGCACTTAGCAACGACACATCCCTTGTACCTACCACAATGTTGGCACACAGTAGGTACTTAAGAAACTACTATTAAGTTACAAAGGCCACTTACTGTGTGTGAAAATGCCTAGGATGGTGCCTGGCATACAGTAGGTGATCAATAAAGGTTTTGATTAAAGGCTGGTAGAACTATTACTGATGACATTTTATAGATGGTGTTGTATGGCAGTCCCCGTAACTGTCTAATCTCTAAAGACTTACCATTTCATTTAAGTTCTTTAAAATGGGTTTCTCCATAGGCTCTGCAAAGGAGTTATACAGGACACTACGGGAAAAATAATTTAGATAAAGGCGCTTTCTCACAATCTGCATGTTCTAAATCTCCCCCAGGAACTGCCTGTGAATCCAGCTCCAGACTCGCCCACCAAGGTGCACACACTCACCTGAGCTCTCCAGAGAATGATACTTGAGCATGGCTCACTTGAGTGCGGCAGTCTTGGAGCAAAATGATTGGGTGACCAAATTTATTCCGGGTCAGGATAAGGATACCCGTGAAGAAGGCCCCAGAGAGAAACAGATCAGCTCCTCCTGCATCTTGGCTGTTCAGAGAAAAGGTGCAAGGTTACCCCTTGTTCGTTCTTGATTCCTTGATTACCCACAGAATCTAAACTCCTTGAGGGCAGGGACTTTGTCATGGTTCCCTCTGGATCCCCATCACCTACAACTTGGTGTGGCTTAGAGTGGGAGCTGAATGAAGGTTTACTGGACAAAGGAAGTTATGAATGAATCTGTAAAGAATGACAGCTCCAGGGACCCCAAGATTATTCCATCCAGAGTGCTTTGGCCCAGGTGGTGGATGAACATACACGGAGCTCTGTATACAAACATACACAATATTTGTCTGGAGAGAGCAAGTCAGAAGTAAGGTCGGCTCCTGAATGGGGCCAGTGACTCTTAAAGGTAGTCTGTGAACTCCTTGAGGGATTGGACTGTGTACTGTCATACTCATCTACTCAGCTCTAGGTCTGACCCAGTGTAAGTACACACTATATTGGTTGATGACGCAGTGAATATGGAATGAACACATTCATTCTCATGCATGGTTTATGGGGTGACACGAAAGATTCATCATTCCATTACTAGCTGAGTGGTTGGATGTTCAAACCTACCCAGTGGCTCCTTGGGAGGCAGGTCTGGTGATCTGCCTGAGAAAGGTCACAGCCTTAATGCTCTATGAACCTGTTCTACTCGGCAGCCCTGGGGTCGCCATGAGTTGGAATTTACTCAAAGTCAATCACCACCAGCAGCAAAAGCACAGATAGGGAAGTGTGTTGAGTGAGTGTAACTGGAATGAGGAGGCCCATCTCTGCTGCTCTGACAGTCAGGGACCTTTAGCTCTGAAAAATTTAAATGATATTTTGATCAGTTGTTTAAGGGAAGCATGCTTTTCAGAACCACCAGAGTGACAACTCCCAAACCCACTGCTGTTGAATCTATTCTGACTCATAGCAACCTTCTGGGACAGAGGAGAACTGTCCCATGGGTTTCCAAGGCTGTCGTCTTTGTTTGGTACAGTAAGGTAAGCACTGGACCACGAGATTGTTTTGAGCTACAAGGTCGGCAGTTCAAACTCACCAGCCACTCCTTGGAAGCGCTATACAGAGTCACTATGCATTGGAACCGACTCCATGGCACTTAGAAACAATACCCAGCTTTTCAAAAACAGATGATCCCATCTTTCTCCCGTGGAGTGGCTGATGGGTTTGAACCCCTGACCTTCTGCTTAGCAGATGAGCACTTAACCACTGAACCACCAGAGCTCCTTAAAGCAATGATACCCAAAATCAAGCCCACTGCCACCGAGTTGATTCCCACCTATAACTCTCTCCTGACAAACAATAATGCTCTTGGACAAGGATTGTTAATAACTCAGGGAAAGAGGTTTAATGTCTAAAACGTTGACTAGTTGATCCATTTCTCACTGCGCTCCGTGTCTTCCCAGTACAGGAGCAGACTACAGTGGGGTACTCACAAAAACGGAGACCTGACTTCCCAGTCGGTGCTGATGTTGGCCATGCCGTGATTGGTGAGCACTTTGACTCCTTCTCCAGGCACAAAGGCCAATGAGGTATTGGGAAGGGAAAAGGCCTTGATTTTTATGCTGTAAAACAAGAAACAGAGGAGTTAGTGAAACTCTTGTAGCACATCGGAAACACGGCTATAGATGGTCTGAATTCCTACAGAAAAAGCATCACCATCACCATCACCTATCAGTTGGTTGTACTGTGGTGGTTTGTGCGGCACTGTGGTGTTGAACGCTATACAATTGGTGATTCAAACATCAGCAGGGTCACCTCTGGTGGACAGGGTTCAGCAGAGCTTCCAGATTAAGACAGACTTCAGAAGAAAATTAGCTCATGAAAGCCTTATGGGTCACAACAGAACACTGTTCAACTTGCTTGCTTTGGAAATGTCATTGAAAGGATCAATTGCTGAAGGAGGACATCATGTTTGATGATGTAGAAGGTCAACAAGGGTGAGAGGGAAGCTCAGTGAGAAGGCAGGCATGACATTTGCAGGATGGACTAGAGCATGTCAGCTATCAAGGAAATGAGGTGGACCTCCCACTTGATGTTTTCAGTGTTGTTTCTGTGCACTGCCTTATTCTTCCCCCATGGCTTTGACAAGAAGCTCCTTTTGTCAAATAAGGAGGAGAAATGAACATGTGCAAGAATAAATTAAGGAAATGAACATGTGCAAGAATAAATTAATAAATTCTGGTAGCATAGTGGTTACGAATAGGGCTGTTAATCTCAAGGTCAGCAGTTCAAAACTACCAGTGGTTCTGAGGGAGAAAGATGAGGCTTTCTGCTCCCGTAAAGAGTTACAGCCTCGGAAACTCTGTGCAGCCTTGCTGTGAGTCAGAACTGACTAGATGGCACACCACCACCCAGAATAAATTTTCAGATAGTAAAATAATCTGATTCTTTATGTTATTGTTGTGGTGAAGTGCTTTCAAGTTGGTTCCGACTCATAATGACCCTGTGTATGGTTTCCAAGAAGCAGCTGGTGGGGTTGAACTGCTAACCTTGTGGTTTGCAATTCAGTGTTTATCCTACAGTACCACACCAGGAGTTAAAGACGAAAAGATACAATTTTGTCACCCTCATTTTTTTCCCTTCAGCTGTATTTTGAATGGGACAGCTATTTTTCAAGAGGAGTGTCATCCATATTGCAATATGTTTGGTTTATATGCCAAGTAAATGCCAGCAATCCTACCCCTAGCCACTGGGAAACTTACTTTTAAACAGTAAACTTCATCTTGGATTCTCTAGACCAGAGGTTGGGAACCTTTTTTATGCCAAAATTTATAATATTCATAGGCTATACAAAATTATCAACTTAAAATTAGCCTGCTATATCTGGTCAAACATTTAATTAACTCACCCCTTAAGGTCAGCGGTTCGAAACTACCAGCTGCTCCGCGGGAGAAAGATGAGGCTTTCTACTCCCGTAAAGATTTACACCCTCGGAAACCCTGTACAGGGTCGCTATGGGTCGGACCCGACTCGATGGCACTTAACAACAACAACAACAACAATATAGGGTAGGAGTCCTGGTGTGGTGCTGTGGGTTAATGCACCAGACTGCAAAGCCATTTGAACTGCAAGGTCGATGGTTCAAGCTCACCAGCTGCTCCTTGGAAACCCTATACAGGGTCAGTATGGGTCAGAATCGACTCGACGGAACTTGACAACAACAATAACAATATAGGGTGGGCAAGGAGCTCTGGTAGCGTAGTGGTTACGAATTGGGCTGTGAATCACAAGGTCAGCAGTTTGAAATTACCAGCTGTTCCATGGGAGAAAGATGAGGCTTTCAGATTTAAAGAAATTTACAGCCTTGGAAACCCTGCACAGGGTCGCTGTGAGTTGGAACCAACTCCATGGCACATAACCACCACCACCAATATAGGGTCGGCAGGGTTAGATTCTTACACCATACTTATTCAACCTGTATGCTGAGCAAATAATCCGCGAAGCTGGGTTATTGAAGAAAAACATGGCATCAGAATTGGAGGAAGACTCATTAACAACCTGCGATACTCAGATGATACAACTTTGCTTTCAAAAAGTGCAGAGGGTTTAAAACATTTATTGATGAAGATCAAAGACCACAACCTTTGGTTTGGGTTGCATCTCAATGTCAAGAAAACAAAAATCCTCACCACTGGACCAATAAACAACATTCTTATCAATGGAGAAAAGATTGAAGTTGTTAAGGACTTCATTTTTCTTGCATCAACTATCAACACTCATGGAAGCAGCAGTCAAGAAATCAAATGACATATTGCATTAGGCAAATCTGGTGCACAAGCCTTTTTAAAGTGTTGAAGAGCAAAGATGTCAGCTTGAGGACTAAGGTGCGCCTGATCCAAGCCTCATATTTTCAATAGCCTCATATGCATGCGAAAGCTGGACAGTGAATAAGGAAGATCATAGAAGAACTGATGCTTTTGAATTATGGTGTTGGAGGAGAATATTAAAAGTGGCATGGGCTTCCAAAAGAACCAACAGATCCGTTTTGGAAGAAGTGCAGTCAGAGTGCTCCTTGGAGGCCAGGATGGCCAAACTTAGTCTCTCATACTTTGGACATATTGTCAGGAGGGACCAGTCACTGGAGAAGGATATCATGTTTGGTAAGGTGGAGGGTCAGAGAAAAAGAGGAAGACCCCCAGTGAGATGGATTGGCCAAGTGTCAGCATCAATGGGCTCAAGCGTGGCAACAATGGTGAGGCTGGCCCAGGATCGGACAGTGTTTCATTCTGCAGTGCATAGAGTCACTATGTGCAGAGTCACTGTGCATAGAGTCATCGGTACCAACTCGATGGCACCTAACAACAACAAAAATATATAGGGTTGGAGTCCTGGTGTGGTGCTGTGGGTTAATGCGCTGGACTGCAGTCACTTTCAACCACAACTTCAGCGGTTCAAACTCACCAGCTGCTCCTAGGAAACCCTATACAGGGTCTCTATGAATTGGAACTCCTCAATGACACTTAACAACAACATCAAATGTGATGGTTGGAATTGCGGTTGTCTTGAGCCAGACCAAATGAGTTCTACAGCCTTATCTGACTCATGGGCCTGACATTTCCTACGTCTGCTTTAGACTATCAGATAGGTAACCAAAAGGATATGGGTTGCATGTAATCCCAGTAGATAAATGCCTACATGTGTTATGATAACTTATTTGAGGTAATTGCTGTTTTGCATTCTTCAATTTAAAGATGGAAAGATGAAGAACTTGGCTGAAGTCACATTCAAGCAGTAGAACCAGATCTGGAACCTTCCTCAAACTGTGCACTTAACCATTAGGTTTTGCCATTTCATGCATTGTTCACTTGACCTGGATCCAAGTTTTGTGTTCACTGTGCAACCTTGGGCAAGACACTTAGTCTCTTTGATTCAATTACTCAGAGAAAGTATTACTCATGGGGAGGTGGGGACGTATTCTCTGCTTTCAGCTAAGATCCAGCTGATATCAGCAATGATATCTTTTGTTCTATGTCCTCTTGTGACTCTGTCTTGAATTTCTGCCAGTTCCCTATCAATATACTACTGCAACAATTGTGAATAATCTTCCGCAAAAAATGACTCGTGTGTGATGCTAAGGATATTGTTGAATTATTTCTATTGGAAATATGAATATAGAGATCTTCCAGTTGGTTGGCCAACTAGTAAATTTCTTGGCTTAGACGAATGAGCACCTCCAGTCCTGCATCTGTTTGCTGAATCATTTCAATAGGGTTCCATTAATTCCTAGAACCTTGTTTATCCCAATGCATTCAATGCAGCTTGGATTTCCTCCTTGATACCATTAGTTAGTGAGCACATGCTAACGAGGGATACCATTGTTTATATCAGATGGATCTTGGCTGAAAGCAGAGAATACCAAGAAAATGTTTACCTGCATTTTATTGACTATGCAAAGGTATTTGACTGTTGAATCATAACAAATTATGGATAACATTGTGAAGAATTCCGGAAGATTAATCTGTGCTCATGCAGAACCAGTACATAGAGCAAGGGACAGTCATTAGAAGAGAATGAGGGGACACTGTATGGCTTAAGGTCAGGAAAGGTGTGCATTAGTGTTGTATCTTTTCACCATACTTATTCAATCTGTATGCTGAGCACATACCCTGAGGAGCTGAGAAGAAAGAGTGAGGCATTAGGACTAGAGGAAGATTCATTAACAACCTGTGAGATGCAGATGCCACTACCTTGTTGTTGTTAGATGCCATTGAGTCAGTACTGACTGCATAGTGACCCTATGCACAACAGAATGAAACACCGCCTGGTCCTGGGCCAACCTCACAATTGTTGCCATGTTTGAGTCCATTGATGCCACTTTGTCAATCTGTCTTGCTTGGAGTCTTCATCTTTTTCTCTGACCCTCCACCTTACCAAACATGATATCATTCTCCAGAGACAGGTCCATCCTGACAATATGTCCAAAGTATGAGAGACAAAGTCTGGCTATCCTGGACTCCAAGGCGCACTCTGGCTGCACTTCTTCCAACACTGATCTATTGGTTCTTTTGACAGCCCATGGCACTTTCAATATTTTCCTTCAACACCATAACTCAAAAGCAGCAATTCTTCTACGGTCTTCCTTATTTACTGTCCAACTTTTACATGCATATGAGGTTACTGAAAACACCATGGCTTGGGTCAGGCGCACCTTAGTCCTCAAACCTTGCTTGACTTGAAACATTACTGATGAATACCAAGAACTACAGCCTTCAATATGGATTACACTTCAACATAAAGTAAATGAAAATGTTCACCACTATGCCAATAAGCAACATCACATGACCATCTGAGCACCAGGTGCTTTTCATCACCATCTTTACTATAAAAGCACACTTGTCCTTTCATGTTCAGAGGACTTGGTAGAATCTTCTCTTCCCTGTGTCTCCCCAGTTGGTAAATGGTATTACCCTCAATAAATTTCTTTGTTTTTAATTTAACAGACTAAGTGTTCTTACTCTCCAATAGGAATCTCATTTGATTTTTCCTGATAATGTTTACATTTGATTTATTACTATTGTTGTTAAGTGCCATCGAGTTGGTTCTGACCCATAGCGACTCTGTATGGGGTTCCTAAGGCATAACTGATTAACTTGAACTGCTGACCTTGCAGTTCAGACTGACTTTGTAGTCCAGCGCATTAACCCACAGCACCATGCCAGGACTATTGTTGTTGTTAAGTATCGTGGAGTCGGTTCCGACTCATAGTGACCCTGCATAGTGTTTCTGAGGTTGTAAATCTTTATGGGAGCAGAAAGACTCATCTTTCTCCTGTGGAACGGCTGGTAGTTTTGAACTGCCGACCTTCAGGTTAGCAGCCTGATTCGTAACCACATAGGAAAGATTCCAACTGTCAACAGAATTCTTTTTAGAAAGAGAACTTTACTAATTGGAAAATTATGTTGAAAAGCATTTAGGGTAGAAACAAAAATAGTTTGATGCTTAAGGATGAACAGAACTGAATTGCAGGATACCAGGAAAAGAAATTTTTGTTGCTACAGAGAGGAAGAAGGAGAATGTGTGACAAGGGGCAGGTGGGGTGGGGAGATTCTAGACAACTCAATGCATAGACTATGTACCCTGTGAGCCATTCCTAAAACTGCTGAAATCCTAACTAAATTACTAAGATTAGAAAAGACCTGGTGAGCCTAGATTTCTTATTGAAAGGTAATGTTTGAATTCTGTATCCAAGGTTATGGGAGTAAGTGGTAGAGATAGAATGAAGAATTCCATTTAGAACCCAAGGACAAGATGGCCCCAGTGGATATCTGTGTTGAATTAGAATGTCCTCCTGAGAGGTGAGGACATTGAATCTCAGAGCACATATGTAAGGGACACACAGTGAATATGCAACCAAGCGACAATTTAGACTCAATATTCTGACTCAAACACCACTGTCTGTCAATCACATGACCCTTCTTTCTTGGGTTCTTGATGATGTCAATCAACCAGCTGAGAAGCCTTTACCAAAGGCTAACTTATGCTCTGCAGATCTAGGTATTTTACCAGGCCCTATGACCCTGAGATTTAAAAGATTAATGTCACTGCTAAAGAGGCTCTCCTAGTTTACTTACTTTGAAAAATTGTAGTTTACATAATCAACCTTTAGAAATTCTAGAGACTCGGAACCTTTTAAATCTGGGATGCTCTTTTCCATGATCATTTGCTCAATTGTCCCCATTCCAGCTTGAACACCTGGGAAGGAAACAAAGACATGTCGGTTGGTAGTAACAAGGATGGTCATGATATAATAATATTAACTACACAAGCACCATTTATTGAGTAAGGCATTCTATTCTCTCAGGCACTTAGAAGACAGCAACTCTGCAAAGTAGGTATTATTGTCTCTGCTCTAAAGATGAAAAAATTTCATCTTCATTAAGTGTCTTAGTGATCTTGTGTGACTATAATAGAAATACCACAAAGAGATGGCTTTAATAAACAGAAATTTATTCTCTTATAGTTTAGGAGGCTGGAAGACCAAATGCAAAGCGCTGGCTCCTTTCAGCATCTGTAAGCCCAGGATTCCTTGGAAATCTCCATGTATCTTGGCAGCAATCTTCTCCTGGATCTAGAAGCTTCACAGTACATAGACCCCAGATCCAAAGGACACAGTCTACTTTTAAATCTTCTTTCTTGATGGTAGTAGTAGTTGTTGTTGTTGTTAAGTCCCATCGAGTTGGTTCTGACTCATAGAAACCCTATCTAGAACTTCCAAGGAGCGGCTGGTGAACTTGAACCACCGACCTTGTGTTTCAAACTGACCTTACTGTCCAGTGCATTAACCCATAGTGCCACACCAGGACTCCATTGGTGGTGGTAAGTCCCTCATTCTCTGCTCAGTTCTCTCTCCTTTCATCTTTGTAAGATAAAAGGTTTTGCAGGCCACACCCCTGGGAAACTCCCTTACATCAGATCAAGGCTGTGATGGGATTAAGGGCATTGCAGCCCACCTTTCATCCTCTCATCAGTTTATCACATCAGATCTCATCATGGCGAATCATCACATAATTGCCACACCACTGAGAATCATAATCTAGCCAAGTTCACACGTGTTTTGGGGGGACATCATTCAATCTATGACAGTAAGTATAAGTAACTTGCTCCAGACCACAGAGCGAGTATGGGAGATTCTCATTGTGTTGTTGTTGTTGTTGTGTGCCATCGAGTCGGTTCCGACCCATAGCGACCCTGTATAGGGTTTCCGAGGGTGTAAATCTTTACGGGAGTAGAAAGCCTCATCTTTCTCCCGCGGAGCAGCTGGTAGTTTCGAACCGCTGACCTTAAGGTTTGCAGCCCGATTCGTAACCACTACGCTACCAGAGCTCCTTGTGTAACTACCGCTAAAAGACTTGATCACAGCACAGTGTGCTAGCAAAAGTACAAAGTATTCTATGATGAATCTAATTTTCACTATCTACATTTTACAGATGAGAAACCTGAGTCTCAGAGAGAATAATTCTGCCCCAAGTCACACAACTAAACAACTGGGGGATCCAGTGGTGGAAGCTCGAGACTCTGTGTGAAATGACCAATTCTAGAACACACTTCATTTCTTCCCGTTTCCTTCAGGATCTTTTGTCCTGAGAACCATGGGTCTCAGAAAACTTCTGAGCTCCCTGAAATTGCAATGAATGACCACGACAGAGCGATGTGTGTGTGTGTGTGTGTGTGTGTTTGCATGTCTCACATTTTATGGGAGAGCATCCCCATTTTCATGAACTTCTCCAAGCATTCTGTTGCTATTCTGAAGTGCCATCGAGTCAGTTCTGACTCTCAGTGACCCTGGATAGGATTGCCAAGGAGCAGGTGGAGGGTTTGAACAGCTGACCTTGTGGTTCACAGTCCAGTGCTGAGCCTACAGCACCATACCAGGAGTCCCAAAGCATCCTAGGATTCCAAACATGTTGAGAACCATTGTTTTCATGTGATTCTATTATAACTTGCCAGGCTTTTTATTATAGTGCCATGGGAAATTTTTCTCTGAACTTGTGGGGATAAACAGCCCTCTCTTCCTCATTAAAGAGCATGAGAAAAGGACCTTATACAGTGGTAACAATGGATCTTTCCATTTTAACCTTTGTCTCTTACTGGAATTGTACTGGAATTCTACCTTGATACCCTTCTTTGCAACTTAAGTTCATTTCCACTTATTCTGCCTTTTGCTGGAGATGACAAGTAGATGGTTTCCTCTTCTGTGCCATGAACGATATTATAACACAGGATGTGCTTTATTTACTATAAAGGAGTAAAAACAGAACCAAAGGTATAATCAGATAACTTGTGCCTGAATCCCCTCATTTTCATTCATTAACTTGTGTGACTGTGCAATTTACACAATCTCTCTGTTTTTCACAATTCTCATTTGTAACCTGGGACCAATAGTAACTGGACAGGTCTGTTCACACATGTGAAAATAACACTAGCCAACATTGATTGTTGTTGTTGTTGTTGTTAAGTGCTGTCGAGTCGGGTCCGACCCATAGCGACCCTGTACAGGGTTTCCGAGGGTGTAAATCTTTACGGGAGTAGAAAGCCTCATCTTTCTCCCGCGGAGCGGCTGGTAGTTTCGAACCGCTGACCTTAAGGTTTGCAGCCCGATTCGTAACCACTACGCTACCAGAGCCAACATTGATTGGGCATTTGCTATTGTCAGTTCCTATATTCTAAATGCTTCATGTGTATTAATTCATTTATTTCCCAACCTGGGTTGTTGTTGTTATTAAGTGCCGTTAAGTTGGTTCCGACTCAGTGTCCACCCTGTATAGCATTTCCAAGGAGCAGCTGGTGGGTTTGAACTGCCAACCTTGTGGTTTGCAGTCCAGTGTTGATCCGTCAGAGCCACACCGGGAGTCCTGAAAGGAAGCAGTGGTGTAGAATTCTAGCCTTCCAAGCAGAAAGCCCAGGCTTGATTTCCAGCCAATGTCCTTTAAAAGCAGCCACCACCTGTGTGTCAGAGGTTAATGTTCTCCTGTGACGCTGTCCAGATCTCTGAAAGCTTTCAGAATGAGATGAATTAAGAAAGAAAGCTTGATGACCCACTTCCCAAATCAGCCATTAGAAAGCCAATGGATCACAGCAGTCTGATCCTGTTGTGTATGGGGTTGCCATGAGTTAAGGCTAATACCACAACAGCTAACAACAAGAAGAACAACAACTTGCAATATGCAGTTGATACAACCTTGCTTGCCAAAAGCAAAGAGGACTTAAAATACTTACTAATGAAGATCAAAGACTACAGCCTTCCATTGGGTTAAAACTCCATGTAAAGAAAACAAAAATCCTCACCACAGGACCAAGAAACAACATCCACATAAATGAAGAAAAAATTGAAGATGTCATCTACTTCATTTTGTTCAGATCAACCATCACCACTCAGAAGTAGCAGTCAAGAAATCAAACTACATATTGCATAACGAAAATCTGTTGCACACGACCTCTTTAAAGCATTGGAGAGGGAAGATGTCAATTTGAGAACTAAGGTGTGCCTGACCCAAACTATGGTGTTTTCAGTAACCTCATATGCATGTGAAAGTTGGACAATGAATAAAGAAGACCATAGAAGAATTGATGCGTTTAAGTAATGGTGTTGGAGAAGAATATTAGAAGTACCACAAACTGTCAAAAGAAACCAATCTGTGTTGGAAGAAGTACAGCCAGAATATTTCTTAGAAGCCAAGATGGCCAGACTTTGTTTATCATACTTCAGACATATTATCAGGAGGAATCAGTCCCTGAAGAAGGACATCATGCTTGGTAAGGTCAGTGAAAAAGAGTAAGACCCCAAAAGAGATGGGTTGGCACAGTGGTAGCAGCAATGGGCTCAAGCATAGCAACGATTGTGAGGTTGGCCCAGGACTGGGCAGTGTTTCGTTCTGTTGTGCATTGGATCATTATGAGTTGGTACCAACTTGATGACACTTAACATGTCTATGCAGATCAGTATATCAATGAAGTAACCCTCAATAGAGTAACTATATCTATTGAACAGATGATTACATAACTTGGCTTTAAGTATGTTTCTGTTCAAAGACACCTTATTTAGCTTGTATGAGGGTGAGTCAAAAATTATCTGCACTATGGCTGTAGAATTTACTGTAATCAACTTTTTTTATGTTTTATTGTGAATTATATGATAGTTTACATGTTTACATGAGAGAACTTTAGTTTTACATTTATTCCATCGTATATCATTTCATTGCCATGGTTCCAATCCCCTTCATGCATCATCAACCAACCAAAGGGTATATCCTAGAAACCCACCCCTTACCCTCCCCCCTTTCCCCTCAGTCTTCGGCCCTCTCCCTCTCTGGATCCAAAGTCCCCAGCCACTTCATCACTCCACGTCATCGTCTCTGTCTCCATCTCAGGGATCTCTGGTTCTCTGGGTAGGGTCCCGCTCTTGGCTCTTCTCCGTTGATGGTCCTAGAGACCTCCGCTCCTAGACTGGAGAAATAATCGCTCCCTTCCTTGATACAAAACGTCTACCTTTGCACTTCCAACCCTCATAATCATTCCTGATAACCATTATTCACTACAGTATCATGATATCACGAGTTACCCATCTGTATTTCATTTCATCAGCTCCACCTAGACAGATTGGATAGTACTCACTGGAGATTCTGCCTTCCTCCATGCCCCCCTAGCTCTAGATTCCCTCTTGAAAGCTTGTAAGCCAGTCACTTCTTGCCTTTGTAGTCCCCCCCCCCCTCACCATTTGGGTATCCAATGTCCAAGTTCACTTTTTCGATATAACCTCCTCACTTTTCAATATGCTTTGACCATTGCTCACCACACTTTTGCATTTCCTTATTAAAAAGTATCTTTTAGATTGAGCTCCAAGCTACAAATGCATCACTGTCTTCATGTCTTCATTAAAGGTGAGTCTTTGTCCTCGAAGGTCTGCTTTCAGGTGAAAGTCTGATGGATTGTAGGGAAGATGCTTTAGCACGTCATAACAGAGGGTTTGTAGAGTGTTAACAATGTGGGCAGAGATGTGTGGACAGGCATTGTCATACAAGATCACAATGCCCTTGCATAGCAGTCCTCTATGTTTTATCCGAAGTCTAGGCTTCAGCTCTTCAGTGAGCATCTCATTGTAATGAGCACTGTTGATTGTTGAACCTTTTTCCGGATAATGTTCCAATATTGGGCCCTTGAAAATCCCAGAAAACTGTAAGCATTAATTTCTAGCTGATGGCTGACTTTTGAACTTTTTTGGGTCAGCAGTTGAGGATGTTTCCATTCCATACTCTGCTGTTTAGTTTCAGGTTCGTAGGGATGAATCCAGGTCTTGTCACTAGTAACGGTTTTTTGAAAGGAACTTTTATCTTCCTTAGAGTACTGGTCCAAATTTTGCTTGCAGATGTCCAGACACTTCTGGTTATGCTCTTCCATGAGCTGTTTCGGTACCCATCTTTTTGAAACTCAAGTCTGTCGTGGATTATTTCCCAGGCAGAACCATGGCTGATTTGGGACTGATTTGCCAAATAACCCACAGTCACTCACCTATTCGACAGAATCATTTCACGTGCATGCTTAATGTTGTCATCAGCTGAGGATGTGGGCAGGTGTTTTAATATAACCAGAGTGCAGATCAGTTTTTACTCACCCTTGTAATTTTGATTCATGAACCTTAGACTCATGGTAAACAGCAGCGTAACTCATGTTTGAAGCAGACTTCTCTAACACCTAGCCATCTAGCATTTATTTTCTTCATAAAGCACTACCCTGTCTCCTTGTGCTTAGGGACTCTAGGAAAGAGTACATCAGCACTATGTTTGGGGACATTTTAAATAATGAAATTATCAACAAAGACCACAAAGGATGTAAAAAAAAAAACAAAAACCCAAAACGTGCCAGTAAACAGACCCTGAAAAAGACACACGTTGGCAGTTGGAGAGCTGAATGTGGAGCACTGCTTTGTTTGACCTCAGCTGGGAATGGAGGTGGAGGGGTAGGGGCTTTAGAGACTCTAACTCTGCCACACTGCACATGTGCACATCTGCAACAACATTGCAAGTATTGATTTTAGGATGACAAATTTGAGCAATTAAGTGCATTTGCAAATATGGACTCTGCAAATAATGAGGATAATCGAATATTTATATATATACATATATAGGAGTCCTGGTGTGGCGTTGTGGGCTAATACGTCAGACTGCAACGTCATTTGAACTGCAAGGTCGGTGGTTCAAGTTCACCAGCTGCTCCTTGGAAGCCCTCTACAGGGTCGCTATGGGTTGGAATCGACTCGATGGCACTTAACAACAACATATATATATGTGTTTGTGGGACTCTTGTGTAGCGCCATAGGATAAACACTTGACCTCAAGGTCGATTTGAACCACAATGCCGGTGGTTCAAACTCACCAGCCGTTCCTTGGAAACCCTGAGTCGGACCTAACTCAATGGTATTTAACAACAACCTTATATTTGTGATCTATCTCTTGGAAGTGACTTGATGTCACACACAATAACAAGTCCCATATAGATTCATATATATATATATATTGTTGTTGTTGTTAAGTGCCGTCGAGTCGGTTCCGACCCATAGCGACCCTGTACAGGGTTTCCGAGGGTGTAAATCTTTACGGGAGTAGAAAGCCTCATCTTTCTCCCGCGGAGCAGCTGGTAGTTTCGAACTGTTTCGAACTGCTGACCTTAAGGTTTGCAGCCCGATTCGTAACCACTACGCTACCAGAGCTCCATATATATATACATAAATATATTTCTGAGGTTTCTTTTTCTACACACATCACAGTTCACTAAACAATTGTGCTCGATGGCTTAATTTTACATTCCCTGTGCCAGATGAGGAACTGGGGAAAAGACAATGAGTTATCCAAAAGCTGGTTGGCCTAGCTTCCACGAAAGTGATTGGATCATACCACAAAATAAAACCCCAAAACAACAAAATCTGTTGCTGTTGAGTCAATGCCAACTCATGCAACTCCATGTGTTAGAGATCAGAATTGTTCCAGAGGATTTTCTTGGCTGCAGTTTTTACAGAAGTAAATTGCTAGGCTTTTCTTCCACAATGCCACTGGATGGGTCTGAACAACAAGCCTTTAGGTTTGTAGCCAAGTGCAAACCATTTACACCACTCAGGATTCCTTCACCCCACAGTAGGGATGGCATTACCTCTAGTAGAGTTTGTCTGAGTCATGAGACACCCCAAGTTATGAGCTTCTGGGTTTCAAGTTGTAGACCCCACCTTGGCTTCTGAATGCACCCAACTTACCATAGTCCAGTGCCCGCTGAGTAACTCTTGCCTTGATTCCAGGGTAGATAATCTTGGAAGATGCAATGTTGAGATTCCATAGGAAGAAACAACCCCAGAGGACTTGGACCATCTTTGTATACATCTGCAATTAACCAATATTTATGACACTTTTATTATTCTTGACTTTCTTATTAGTCAATTTTATCCATCAATTCAAGACTTTCTCATTTTCACTGCTCACTTCCAGAATGGCATCCATCCATCCATCCTTCCATCATCTACTGAACATCCCAGAACATGCTCTAGACCTATTTATGGCTCTTGACCTCTGCTTCCCACAGACTGGAGAGTGAGTCAGTCATACACAGATGATTCTAACGTAGAAGGATACTGGAGAAATTCTTGACAGTTTTAGAAATAACAAGTTAATAATGTAGAAACATGGCCTTAGAGGATATGAAGTCATCACACAAGGCAGACTCCCCTTTCCTCACAGGGTGGGGCTTAAACTCTTATTAGGGCGATCAATGCCTTTCTCTCCTCTCCTGTCCAAGTTCTGACCAGTTCTCTCATGCCTGGGGTGTTTGTCCAACCCTCTTAATATAAACACACATACATGTTCTCTTTCTGACAGGCAGCTCCACAGGTGTCTTTTCCTCCATGAAGCCCCTTCCCAAACACAATGTACAAAATAAGCACTGTCCCCGTGACCTGATAGCCCCTGTGGCCCTCCCCTTTAGCTCTCTCCAAAGACTTCTGATAATCTAGCAGAGCATGTTGTTGTTAGCTTAACGTCAAGTTAACTCCCAACTCAGGGTGAGCCCAAGCACAGTGGAACAACACACTGCCTAGTTCTGCACCATCTCCATGAAGAGTTTTGAATCAGAATGCTGTGATCCACAGGGTTTTCATCGACTGACTCTAGAAGTGGACCACCAGAACTTTCTTCCTAGTCCATCTTAGACTGGAAGCAGTCCAGCATCATAGCAACCTGCAACCCTCCACTGACATGGCAGCTGCACATGAAGCACATTGGCTAGGAACTGAACTCAGATTTCCTGCACAGAAGCTGAGACCATAACACATTACAGAATGACCGGTTTGTTTTTAGTGTGTATCTTTCCCACGGGAACTTCTAAGCTGCATGGGGAAGGACTTCATCTCTTCAATACTCAGAATCATGACTGGCAATGAGTAAATGTAGAGTGGTTGATTGGATGGTTGAATAAATGTCTTTCCCATGAGCTGTGAAGTGGGCAGGTATGCCTTCTGGGTTCCCACACACTTAGAGTACACCAGGGGGCATTGTGCTGTTCGTTTATTGGTCTGTTTCTTCATCACAGGGATTGTGCCTTATTTCTATAATGCCCGAGTCTAGTGCAATGCCTGCCACATCATAGACACAAACACTTTCAATTAAGTAAACATTCTCTTCAAGAGAAAGGAGCAAGTCACTATTATATTGCCAGTTCTTGGCATCTACTAAGTGACCAATGTTGTTAAGTGCCATCGAGTCAGTTCTGATTCATAGCGACTCTGCAGAGGGTTTCAGAAGAGCCTCTGGTGGGCTTGAATTGCCGACCTAGCAGTCAGTGTTGTTGTTGTTGTTAAATGTTGTCAAGTCTGACCTATAATAACCCTGTAAAGAGTTTCTGAGGAGCGGCTAGTAAGCTTGAACTGCCAACCTTGTGGTTCAAAGCGACTTTGCAGTCCAGCTTATGAATCCACATCACCACACTACAGTCAGTAGTCCAGTGCCTATCCTACAGTGTCACACCAGGGCACCTGGCTAATGTGTATGTCTTTAATTAGAGGACTCAATGAGTGAATGTTGTGTTTGGTGGTGATTGTGTGCCACCGAGTTGGTTCTGACTCATAGTGACCTTGTTTAGGGTTTCCAAGGAGCAGCTGGTGAGGGTGAACTGCCGACTTCTTGGTTCAAACTGACTTTCCAGCTCATTAACCCACAGCGTCACACCAGGACTCCCTGGTGATCTTTATGGGAGCAGTAAGCCTCATCTTTCTCCTGTGGGGCGACTGATAGGTTTGAACTGCTGATCTTGCAGTTAGCAGCCCAGCTCATAACCCATTATACTACGAGCGCTCCTTCAACAAATGAATTGTTATTGTTGTTGTTGCTAAGTGCCATCAAGTTGGTTCTGACTCATAGTGACCCTGCATAGGGTTTCCAAGGAGTGGCTAGTGGGTTTGAACCACTAACCTTGTGGTTAGTGTTCCAGTGCTTATCCTACAGCTCCACACCAGGACTCCTCCTGCCACACTTTCTTGGAGGAGGAGGCACAGGTCCCAACAACAGCAATGCTCAAGGGTTCTTTTAATGCCAGCCAAGTGAGCAATCCATTTACAGGCTTTGTGTCTACATTCTGGGAGTTTATATCTGACCTGCCCCTGCTGCATTCACACGTGCCATAGATCCGCAGTTGACAAGCACGTTGAGCTAAGGCACAAACTTGAAACAAATCAGCCAAGAGGAAGTTGTAGGAGCCAGCTCTTTAGACAGAGTACAGGACCAGGACACGTGTGGGGAGAGGGGATGGGATGCAGGGCTGATTGAATGGTTTAAGAGCTGGGAGATGCTTGGCCAAAGGAAGTGAGAGATATGGTAAGGGGGTTGTGTGGGCTTACCGGTGAGACTGTGGGGTGGGAATGGGGTGGTGTAACCCAAGGGTGGTGTCGAGAATTTGCTTGAAAAGGACAGATCATGGGAAGGGAATGTTCAAACAGGGCTGTTGCTGCAAGTCTGTTTTTGGCTTTTGAGTGGCATGGGAAAAGATAGCCATTCATGGAAGCTTGACAGAAAGTGGATGCAGTGGAAAGCATTTTAGGGAAATTCCAAACAGTGTAGCCCGCTTTGTGGAAAGAGCAAGGGTTGCCCTACTCACGGTCTGGGGCTGGCATTTTGTGAAGTGCAGCAACTGCCCAATGCATACAGCGGACCTGGGGTCAGAGTGGTGAGTGCTCAGGGGGCGCATTTTACTGAAGGGTCATGAGGTCGTGAGTTAGGGGTTTGACATATCTGTTCTGAGGAGAGGACAACAGGGTCAACCTGTTTACATTTCCTGCCTGATTTCCTCAGAGGCCCCTCTATGTATCCTGGCCTACAGCCAAGTTGAACACTTGTGTCTTAAACACACATTATATCTTGCCTAGTGCCTTTGCTGATGTTGCCCCCTTACACCTGTGCATTTTTCAGGTCCATTTCAAACATAAGTTTCTTTCTGAAACCATTCCTGACTTCCCTGAGCAAAGGTAATCTCATTTTCTTCCAATCCTCTCTTGTGCTGATCAAATGGTCTATTTGTTCATGTGAGTGATTCTTTTCTTGTTGATTGCTTGTCTCACTGACCACAAGAGAAGTGCCATGAAAACAGACACTTTGACTGGTATGGAGGTTCTAGAGCCTGGTATACATGGGGTGATTGGTAAGTGTTGGTGGAATGAATCAATAAATGAATAAACAAAGGAATGACTCTAACCTCACCCTACACGTATTATAGTGATGTGCTTAACGCATAGTCGATTAATGAAGTATTTAGACTTGAATAAAGTCCAGGCAAGCTTCCTGGGAGATGCAAATGATTTGGGCTAGACTCTGGTAGCGCAGTGGTTACAAATCAGGCTGCGAACCACAAGGTCAGCAGTTCGAAACTACCAGCTGTTCCACGGGAGAAAGATGAGGCTTTCTGCTCCTGTAAAGATTTACCGCCTCAGAAACCCTGTACAGGGTCGCTATGAGTCGGAACTGACTCCATGGCACATAACAACAACACTGACCTAAAGGTTGGTGGTTCCCACCTATCCAGTGGCACTGTGGGAGAAAGAGCGGTTGCTCTGCTTCCACAAAGATTACAGTCAACAAAACCAATGGAGCCGAGTTCTACTCTATAACACAAAAGCTTGGACTGGGAGGTTAGTCACTGGGTTATATGGAGGACACAGGAAGTCTCTGTGGAGTGGTCAGGGTATCTGGGAAACAGGAGGGAAAGTCTCAGAGCTGAGGTCCTTTAACACTCGGTGTGGAATCAGCCCAACATTTTAACACTGATACAATGGTTAATCACTCAACTGCTAACTTAAAGGCTGAAGATTTGAACCTATCCAATGCTTCCATGGGAGAAAAGAGCTGGTGATCTGTTAACATAAAGATTGTTGTTGTTAAGTGCTGTCGAGTGGATTCTGACCCATAGCCATCCTGTAAAGGGTTTCCGAAGCTGTAAATCTTTACAGGAGCAGAAAGCCTCATCTTTCCCCCGTGGACCAGCTGTTAATTTCAAACTGCCGACCTTGAGATTAGCAGTCCAATTCATAATCACTATGCTACCAGAGCTCCTTTCATAAACATAAAGGTTTCAGCCTAGGAAATCCAATGGGGGCAATTCTACTTTGTCACATGGGGTCACTATGAGCTGAGATTCAACTCAATGGCACAGAACAAGAAGATCATGCCTTTGCGCATCCAGTCTGATGTATCTTCTTGCAGGGTTGTTTTGGGTTATACAGACATGATGCGTTACAGAAAGAAACTGGTGGCAGCGATGTGCAGCGATGTGGACTGGAGGAAGGTGCCGTGCTGGGGATGGGGCATAGTAAGAGGGAAGTGCAGAGCAGTGGGAGGCAGAAGAAGGGCCTCAGATAGGAGAGGAGGGCCTCTGACCAAGCAGTGAGTGATGTGAAGGTTGTAGGAAATTGCAGAGTGGGAGCCAAGTAGGCAGTGTGCCACATCCTGCCAGGCAAGGTAATATTAACAGCATCTAATCTCAACATCTTGGAGACCACGGTGGTGCAAATGATTAACATGCTCGGCTGCTAACTCAAATGTCGGAGGTTTGAATCTACTCAGCGGCACCTTTTGTCCTAGTATCATCCAAGAGTGTATAAATTCAACACAGCTTTTCCCCTGATGTACAAGTGTGTATCTAGCATGTGTAGAGCTGAGAAATTTGGTTCAAAGATTTAATTCTCTGTAGAAGTGATTCCATAGTTTGAGTGAAGACTTGGAAGGACCTGGTGTATTAGCATCAGTAGATAACTTCATGTCTCCCTAATTTTAAGTTAAGGAGCTCTGGTAGCTTAGTGGTTATGAATCGGGCTATGAACCGCAAGGTCAGCAGTTCGAAACTA